CGCTTTGTTAAGCGGTCGACGATAACCATGATCGCATCACATCCAGTTCGACGGTCTTGAGTTAACCCTGTAATGAAGTCCATTGAAATGTTTGTCCATCGATTCGATGGAATCTCGAGAGGATGTAGTAGCCCGGCCGGTTTGCGATGAGATGCCTTAATTCTCTGACACATTTCACACGAAGCAACATAGCGTCGAGTTGAGCGATTCATCCGTTGCCAGTAAAACTTGGTTTGCACTGCCAGCAGAGTTTTCAAATACCCTGGATGACCACTGGTAGCAGTATCGTGATGTTCGTAAAAGATCGCGTTGCGCAGGTCGGTGTCGTCTGGTACACAAATCCGGCGCGGCTCATCCACAGAGGGTTGATAGTACAGGATATTGTCCTCCACGAAGAAGTGGTCAATATTTGCGCGTAGAGAACGAGCCAATTCCACAGGAGTTGGTACACCGGATCCACCAGAGTTCTCCTTGAGAAACTTGTAAAGAAGTCCGAAACCAGAATCACGAGAATACAATCGAACGCACTGCTCCACAATTGTTGGCCGAGAAGCAATGTAATGGAGAAAGGCCTCATCAGCATCGTATGAATCGGTAGGCTGGATAGCAAGAAGAGAGAAGAGAGAAGTTGTCTAAAGCCGTCAAAAGACGAAGTGAGTGTATTGAGAGAGAAGCTAGCTCCAGTACATGACTGGCCTAGAGAGGGTGAGCCTTATAGTATGGCTCACTCTATAGCATACTCTACTCTATTGTAACAGCTTACAAAGGGTATATACTGACTGGATATCAGCTCTGGGTACACCGTACCATTGTTAAAGAGGCTACTTCAACACATCGGAATCATCGTTTTGACTTGTCAGCTGTTGTAAGAGGCTCGCTAGTGATACATGTTGAGCAGAGACATCGGGTTGAAAGGCAGGATTTCGTGACACTGCATCTGCCACGATATTGGACACTTCAGGAATCCAACGAAAAAGCGGCTTGTATGAGCCCAGCTCGTTCAGCCATCTCGCTAGTCGCTGAGAGCATGTCTTCTGTTCCAGAATGCTTTGTAGAGTTCGATGGTCAGTATTCACGTAAAACGGCTTGTCAATCAGATAAACTCTCCAAATTCGCATGGCGTGCAATGCCGCCAAGAGCTCCTTCTCACGGGTTGGATACATTTTTTCTGCAGCACTCAGTTTTCGACCACCATAACCAATAACGCATTCTTTACCGTTGTCATCGAGCTGATACAAATAACCTCCAACTGCATAGTCAGAAGCGTCCATCCGTACGTGAAATGGTCGTGAACTGTCGGGGTGAGCGAGCAGTGGCGGCTGTGAAAGAAGTTTTTTCAGCTCTTCGAAGGATACAATCTGTTGAGTAGTGAGCGAAATACGC